AAAGCACAGCCAGGCAAATAACGACTCTTCCAAACTGTAACAATTCTTTGCTGTTCAGTTCTATGCTATGCCACGCTAAAACATTTGCTACGAAATCCACCTGGAGAAAGCCACCCCAGACAAGAAGATGAAATTGCACATTAATCACATTAAAGCTGCAACTTTGTCATTTATTTGCAGTAAATCCCTAACAACTATATGAAAGCTAAAATAGATATTCTTATGCAAATCATTAAAAATATTTAACAAGAAAACGCTTTCAATAAACCCACCGTTTCTGCACCCTTTTCACATACACACTCTCTTAGTTCTGAAAAGGACGGTTGGTTTTCAAGCAATTCCAATAAACTCAACTCATGTGAGAATGATCCCATCTAAACCAAGGATTTCTTAAATGTACAGAGCACTGCCTTTAGAACCCAAATAGCAAATTAATTAGAGGTACAAACCTGACATGCAGTAATGCATCTGCGTGCTTTTCCACAGAAGCAGAATGACTTTATTGTGCTTAAAAAGAAGGCGCTGTAGGAAGCTAAAATACCTTTACTTCTGAATGAGTACACTACTTCGATGTATTTTACCTTTAAGTAATTCATCTTAACCTTTCTAGTTGTCCAGCCAGTAGGGCTGGTTGAAATTTTCCTATAAAATGGCTGCCATCAGCTACACCCGTGGAGAAGGGGGTGGGGGGAGTGAGAAGGGGCGGGTCATGCAAAGCAAGACTAAGAGAACTTCCATTTCCCTTGCTCTGAATAGATGGAGTCCTCCAAACTCATGTGACAGATACGCATGCCAGAACCTTTACCGTAGAGGGTTTGGGCTTTTGTTGTCCTAGGTAATAAATCACCGAGAGATTCAGTAGAATATCTCCACAGTGGATTAACTTTAATAGATTAGATGCAATGCACTGTGGATTTAGAGTACCTCCAGACTGTCCTTACGGTACACTCAGTTAGCTTCAGAGCAAGTAACATGATAATGGTCTGAAATCTCCTGGGGCACTGAGGAAAACCATAGGATATACCTGGATTCAACCAAGACTGTTGTATAAGGAAGACCCAGCCAACTTTTTTCCATAACTATTTACCTGAGTGCTCTAAAATATCCCTCAAAGAAAGGTTATAATGTCTGAAAAAGTGATAAACAGTGGTAATTCTAGAGGAAGGTGTACATCAGAATAAAAAACATTAATTATCTTCTGGAAAGATTGTGTCATAAGATCAAATGACAAGAGAGTAAAACCACTCAGTATCATTATTCATAGTCAACATATACTATTCAGGAAGTTCTTTCCTTCCTTCTGGCTGGAATGAAGTTACCCTCTCTTTGCTCATGTGTTAATTTCCAAGTGATTTCTATTTTAACTGATACCAGTATGAGTAGGGGACAACCACAACACACTGACCTATTTGACCCTGAATATAATGGGATGTTTCCCCCGCATCACCGTGGCTGAGATCTGAAAAGTGATTTCTGTTGATTCCTTGGATATGGCTTAAAGAATCTTGTAGACTTTCAGAAGTTTCCACCTGCCAATCATGCATGTGGGGTCTCAGGCTGGATGCAGTGCTGACCTGATGCTCACTCTCAACCCTATTTCTCTTTGTACTAATCAGATTCCAGTTTTCCTTTTCCCTGGGTTTTGGTCTTTGGTAAAGCAGCTGGACATGCTGCGATTGACAGGCTGTTCTTGAGCCAGTATACATTGGTGAAACTAGATGAGTTGACTGCAGACAGCAGCACTCTGCTGATATCTAGCACCGACGACACACGTGATTTACACGCTAGCTGGCGCACGTGAAACTGTCAGCAGACTTTAGGCAGCGTGAAAGACAGCAGGTCCCAGGTCTCTACAGCAAAACTCAAGTGAGGAGCGGAATAGCAGAACGCCTTTCACTGTTCGTCAGAATCACAGCGACAGCCTCACAGGCCTCTGTGCAGGAGCATGGGTGGATCGGACAGTGGGCCACAAGCCACACACACACAGACAGAAGCCTCCTTCAGCACGTCCGTAGCCGATTTTTTTACCTGTGTGCCAGAGTTACCGCACATGTGTGAAGAGTGGCAGCAGATTGTGGTGAGACTAAGGGTGTTCTCCTTGGAAGGGGTTTCTCCTAGGTTTCACCAGCTCCTTTGTGAATGAGCCCTCACTCTCGGTGGGGGACGTGCTCAACAAGGAAGTAAATGAAGCGCAGAGGACTGGCTGCAGGAGGCCGTTTTCCAGCTGACGTGAATCACTGTGGCCCAAAGGGAGAAGGGTTCAGGTAGGTATGGCACCAGAGGAGGGTTGTGGCTCTCCTGGACTAAGGGAGGGGGACTCTGCCTGACTTGTCATCTAAGAGGAGGCTATGGGGCTCCTGCCTGAAGGGAGGAGGGGCTAAGAAATTCTGTCATTTCTCCAGATTCTGTAATTAATTCTCCAAAGGGCTGACTTTTTTGGGGTCTGAGTGCAGAACGTGACAAAGAAAATGGGATGTGAAGGAAGACTTCACAGAGGATGGTTTCATATGGGAGAAGAGAGATTTCTGTCATCTCCTTTTAGTCCTACGATGCTGAAGTGCACAAAATCGTGGCCTGAGGAAAGGCATCTTAGCTCTGACAGTGTTTCTGCATTCACCAAGACTGTTAAACACAGTGTGGCTGGAAAAGCGGTTTAAAACCCAGTGCATACTTAAGTGTTTAGTTTGGTTGCAGGTGTTGATTAGTGCCTTATTCTCTCTCTCCCTCAAACACAAACGCACAGTGAACACCTAAAAGATTTTATACTGTTCTTAAAAATAGCGGACCAAAGTGACAGCTGTAGTGGACTGGAGTTGATTCATTGCAGACGGCAAATGATTCCTGAAGTACCTTCCGAATTAGCATGCCCATGGACCAGCAAGGACAAAGGGAACTGAAGGAGCAGTATGGTCACCCACAGAAATGGGGAACATCCTGTTGATCTGAGTGTAGCCAACCCCTCTGACATGGGCAGATTCTCTGTAATGTCCTGCCAGGTGACCAAGCTACGAGGTACTGAAGAGTGTCTGGTCTCAAGTCAGGCTGTACAGTAGGATTGGTGCGGAGAATATTGTGCAAGTTGGATACAGGGATGAAGGAAAAAACCACACTGCAGTCTGGCTTTGCTGGGCTTATGTAATGGTCTCCTGTAATGGTCTGTTGCTTTATGTTTTTGGGATTTTGGTTTGTTTAGTTCCATTTATGTGTTGCCTTATCTATTTTATCTTGGTAGAATGTACAGACGGGCTTTGACTAGGGTGGGATGATGCTGGCTGTAGGGCTTGCCTGTGATGCTGAGGGCCAAAACCCCAGGCATGGGATCGCGCGGTTAAAGACGGAATTCCAGTGCCTGCGTGCGCTTTGGGCTGGCGAGCGTTCTTGCACGCCCTCGAATGTTGTGCCTGTGTTTTGGTGGTTGTGCACGGCTGTAGGTCAGGAATGCTTTTGGTGGCTCAGTGTGGAGCCTTCCCTTTTTGGAGAGATGCTGTGGCAGGCAAGCTTTCCCTTCCCCGCAGCAGAAGGGAGGGGAAGGGGGAGGCGGGGCTGTCGGGGAAGGGCGGCCGGTGCTTTTCCAGTTGCCCCTGGAGGTGGGAAGGCGCCTCTGGAGAGGGGCTGCTCCAGCCGCGCAGCTGCAGGC